CATGCCCAGGAATGGGCTCTCAGGCCTGCAGTGAGCCCAGCCTTCCCGATGCCAACTCTGCCGACCAGAACCAAGCAAACAGCAGGGGCGGGGGGACACGGGGGACCCTAGAAGGACCACCTGAGAAGAGAGGGCGGAAGGGGCCAGGCTGACCTGTCTGCTCGCAGCCTCAGGGTGACCACACCTCCTTCCTCTTCGCAGGGGATTTTCGAATCGTTTGCAAAACCCAGAAACCAAACCCATTTCCTTTGAGTTGATTCTGACTGACAAGCACCCTGTCTACACCGCGTTTCCCAGGCTGCCAGTCTTCACGGGAACAGTTAGCCTCATCTTTCCTCTGCAGATCAGCTGCTGGTTTGAACCACTGACCTTGTGGTTAGGAGTCCAACGCTTACCAACGGCACCACCAGGGCTCCCTGTTCTTGCCAATTTAGTGACAAAATTCAGTGGTCGGTGGCATTTGTGGATCGTGAACCAGAGTCCTCACCCCTGCCCCTACATCCAACCCACACTTTGCCCTCTGTGGAAAGACGTGAGTGGCTGAGGAGACCTGGGGGCTGAAGGTACTCAGCCCTGCCCTTCCTGGTTCTCCCCCGGAGCCCAGCTGTCTCCAGATACAGTACAGTCCTGGCTCTGGGACACCCTGGTCAGGCTCTCCTGCGGGACAGTTACTAAGAAACCTGGTCCTTCTTGGGCCGTTGGTGTTCCTGGCTGAGACCCACTTTCTTTCTTTCTATATTCATTCATCATTTTATTGGGAGCTCTTACAGATGTCAAACATTCCCCACTCCCCACACCATACTTGCCGGCAGTTGACATCAGCCATAAGACCATGCCTCACCTTGTGGTACACTCGCTGCCAGTGAGGGGGTGCCCACTCCTAGCCGCCCTATGGGACAGGGTAGAGCTGCCCCTGTGGGTTCCAAGACTATGGCTCTTTGCAGGAGTAGACAGCCTCGTCTTTCTCTTGAGCAGCAGCTGCTGGTTTCGAACTGCTGATC